ACTTTTCAAATAATAATCAATTGATTGTAAGTGAAGAATAAAGAACTAAATTATGCTTCAATTTGTTACAATGCATAACTACCAAATTGAATATTAGAAAATGCCTATTCTACTTCTAAAAACTCATAATGGTGAATAAAGTTCCTCAAATGTATTCCTCTAAATGTTTATCGCAAACTATAATATGTTTTATGGAGAATAAATTATGACTGAGAAACAGTAAAGGCAAAAAGTTCTTCGAGGCTTGGTGAAATTTTATATTTTTGACTTCCTATGAATTAGCATTAAAGTAATGCATACATACATCCGAGTAGTTAACAACTCAGATACTTATGATGATTTATTGGCTTATCTAGTCCTCTTGTCATACATCTTCAATGGAGACATCAAGTCATTATCTTCAAGTGAGTAAAGTATTTTGTTGTGTATTAACTAAATTTTAACATTTCATGATTTACACACAAAACACAATCTTGTGATATAAATATTAATGTAATTTATTAAATTGTTTTAATACATCGTATATACCTACTTACTGTTGAATTTAAACCCTTAAATTCTAATAATCAAGTTCTTTAGTGCATCCTTCAAAAAATCTGGGCTTGACCAGATCTAAAATTTTATTCTCAAATATATCTATCCACATATATAAGTAAAATAAGTGCCATCGTAAATGACAAATTAAAAGTTAGCAATCTATTTACCTCGTATTCCTTCTCTTTATCTATGCCTTGAATAGTATTGAAGTTAGGGTCCTAACAAATATAAAATAATAATTGAGTTTGAAAAAGACTTAAAATATGCAATTTAACGGAAATGTGGAACTTGAATAAATTATGATGTTTATGGGTAACGACCACATACGGTGAAGGCATCTGAATGTGGAGCATGAGTATATTACTTTATCAGCTGTTCCTCATATATAACCTTAACAACACTGTAAACTTCATCTTGCATCTGAATATTCGAGCTCTTGACAATGAACTTAAACATGAATTTTCTTTCAAGGATATTGTTCAACTCTAATGGATAGGGAGATTCGTCAACAACCCCAGTATTCTAGAAGAAATTTTGCATTAGAATTTTTTTAAAACAACTATGAACATAATTTAGGAAAATACCTCAAGTAATCCTTCCTTCAATTCATTTGCGAACTTGCCTATGAGAAACATGGGTTCGCAATCCCAGAGCAACAGTGAAACAGATCCAGTACCGTCCATGACCCTAACCTGAAGCTTATACCTAAATACATGTTTGATTTGAGATATAAATGTATGTTTTGATGGATTAAGGAAATAGAGTTTCTGTTATTTCCTATTCGCCGTTGAGTAATCTTCATTTTTACATTTTAGATTTGGCCAATAATAAATGTTTCACAATTTATCCACCTTCTTTCGACACTTCTTGCAGTTGACATACGACCACCTTCTTTCAATTTTTAAATTTTCAATACTTGCAACAATCCAACATGGACCTTCCTATTTAATATATTAATACAACTTGTTGTCACACCTCCTTTTACACAACCCGGAAGGGTATAAGGGAGTTTTTTCAATTAAAGGACAATTGAAACGGGATTATTTATTTATTAAATTCAGAGTCGCCACTTGGGATAATTATGGTGTCCTAAGTCACCGGTTCAAATCCCGAATCGAGGAAAAGATTGACTCTGTATTACAGTCCGTGAACCAGAAATCTGGGTAAGGAATTCTGTTAACCCGGGAGAAAGTGTTAGGCATTCCCGAGTTCCGTGGTTCTAGCACGGTCACTCAACTGTTATAATTGGCCTATTATCTGATTTTAATACATGTTTTAGCCTATGGTATATTTTAACTTATCAACCGCTTTTAATTAATTCTAAGGAAAATTGCAACGTCGTTTAAAATACGCCTTGAACCACGTCACATATATGCACCCGCGGCTCTCGACATGTTTTATCTAACGTTGTTGAGATTTGGATTTGGGTCACATAAATGCACACCCGAGTTTAGGAATGTAATATTATTAAACTAACGCGCCTAAAGCAATTACGAATTAGCAACTTTGCGAGGGCCGTGAAAATTTGCTAAATGGCGCACCTCGAATTCTAGGGGCCAAAACGAAGTTAATTAAAATGAGGGCTATGCAATTGTCATTTGTTCGCTCACTTTGACTTCCAATGTTTAAAGGGAATTTCAACTATACTTAGAGGGCCATAAACTATTAATACTATTTAATATGGCACGCCTCTATTATAAAGGAGTTATTCTGAAATCACATAATTTTGGGCTATTGTTTGTGCGGATATCATTCACATTGGCTTTCAGGCCCTTGGACCATGCCTGCTACGAACGAGACTGGCAGCAACGGTCAAATGAGAACTGGGCTCAACTCGGTCCCGGGAATGAACTACAAGCTCTTACTCAGAAATGGGATGCGAGTACAGGCACAGATGGGCTGCAGCGTGCTATATGTTCAGTAACACAGCACTGATGGAGAGATCTGGGCTTCAGGCTAAGCCCAGAGGTAAGGGAAAGAACAAACACTATAGCCCAATGCCAAATCTGGCTCAAGCCAACACGTTGGTCAGAATCATATGCCTTTAATTATTTCCGCAAAAGAAAACAACACGACGCAAAGAACTAAGCTAATCTGAGAATTCTCAAGTTTAAAATCAAACCCTATATCTATTTGAAAGCCTTTATGAATTCATTCATGGGTCAAGCAAGGCGAGGTAACAAACTGAAGTAACTGAGCTATTTTGTGGATCATGACAGAACAACCTAACGTAAAGAAGCTAATGGATGGACAACAGAACACAAACCAGATTTGCTAAGGAGGAACAAACAAAAGAGCTAATCTGATGGATGCTGAAACACGACTATAGAAAAAACATCTCCAAAGTTTAACAAAACTTCAACAAAACCTAAAACTTCACACACAATTCGATGAGTCTACTGAAACCTAGTTCAACTCTCTATTGGGCTTTTTAATCTTGTGAACCCAATCAATATTAAGAAAAACCCAAAAACCCAAATGTTCAAATTAAGAAACCTTAAAGACTCGGAACAAAGTTAAGCCAAAAAAAAAAACAATGCAAATTCAAACTTGAACACAAGACCCAACTTACAATCACACACATCCTAAATCTAACACGCAGATATGGAAGATAAAGAAAAATGAAAAAGAAACAGAATAAAAAAAAAAAAAAAAAAAAAAAAAAAAAAAAAGAGTAGAGGGAAGTGAGGATGAGGAAACAAAATACCAAAGGGTAAAGAAAAATACCTAGGGATCTCGGACAAATAAGAAATAGCATTTATGCCTCGAAATCTCCAATTTCCGGCCCAATCCGAGATTAATCGTATATTTTTTGTCAAAAACACGCGATTAAAGTCAAACTGAGCCTTAAAATCTTCAATGAACCCTTGATTTGAGACCTGAGGATTTTATGGCTATCCCTTCAAATCCAGATTCGAAGAGCTTCGCTAATATTCAAGGGAAACGGAGCGGATTTCTGGAATGAGGGTGAGACAGGGGTTCAGGGGTGTTATTTTAGCGGTGAACAGGGGTGGCGCCGCCGGGCTAAGGTGATGGGAATATGAGGGCGGCGCTAGGTTCATCAGGAGAGAGATGAAGGAGATGAACGAAGGGGGGTTGTGAACTGGTACTAGGTTGTAGTGAGGGTCTTCAGACCTTTTTAACTAAAGAGAGGGAAGTCCTAAGGGTCGTTGGATAGAAATGAACGAATGGCTGAGATTCAATCCAACATTAAACGGGGTTCGTTTGGTGTTAATGGGGAAGGGTCCGGTTTTGGACGGGNAAAGGCCGTTGGATGGAAGTGAACGAATGGCTGAGATGAACTCGGACTGAACAAGACTCGAAACTATGTCGTTTGGTTAAGCTACGGTTTGGACTGGGTATTATAACAGGTTTGGGTTGTGATTAATCGGATTTTGAGGAGGAATCTATTGGGCTGGGGAATTGTAATTGGCCAAAACCCGAGTCTTCTCTTAACAAATCCATTTTCTTTTCATTTTCCTTTTCCTCTTGATTTGTTTTTTCTAATTTCTTTTAAAATCAAATTAAAAATTAAAAATAAAACCTAAATTAATTCCTAATCAAATTATTCTATCAAATCGAATTAACTAATTCTAAATAATGCTTACCACCACTAATTAAATGCCAAATTAAAGAAAAACTACCAAAATTCGAAACTAAAATTAAAATGCAAAAATAAGTTACTTTTGTGATTTTTTCATTTTTATAAAACAACTAATTTGTCAATTAATTCCTAAAATGTAAAATTAACTCCTAAATGCAAATGCAACATATTTTTGTATTTTTCATTAATTAATCAAAAATAAAAATGTACAGACAAATGCAAACAATTATCAGAAAATGCCATAAAATCCTCAAAAAGTTCCAAATAAAAAGAAGTTATTTTGTTTTGAATTTATGAGAGTAATTCATATATAGGGCAAAAATCACGTGCTCACACTTGTGATATCGAAATTGAGGATAGCATATTTGTGTAAAAGGGAAGACATAAATTAGGCATATTTCATTAATCAAAAACCAAAATGCCAATCGAGAGATGAATATATATATAGCTTAATTTTTGGTAAATACAATTATTTCAGTTATTTACATGTAGCTTCCTAACTAAAGAGATCGAAGAATATAGTTAAACCAAGCAAATTATTAGATATTTAGAGGGAAGAAGCAAAACAGTTAAAACTTAAAGTGTTTCTTTAAAAAAAACAGTTTAGAACATAAAGTCAAAATAATTACAATAATGCACATATTTAAATGGAAAAAAGTGTTGCTGTCTTTTTTTAGCGTAATTGTTAAATTTCTCTGCAGTTGTAATTATATCTTATAGTTGTTTGATTGGTAAAAAGAGGTAATTCCTAGTTTAAACTACAAATGTTGTTCACGTTACAATAGAACTGCTACAAAAAGTAGATTTTATTCAAATATATAACTAAGTCGTTAAATTTTAAAGCTAGCATACTATCCCTTTATTATTCCCTCTTAAGTTAGATACTATTTTCAAGATCTCTAAAAGTAAAGTCGATGATTTTCCTTCTCTAATTGCCTCCAAAAGGTACTACATTTCCATTTTGAGAACACTTTTAGCATGTATGCTCGCACGCTGCCTAATAAGCTTATTCTTGGAGAAATTTAGGACAAGGGTGAAGGCAAAAGAGATGGTCCAACTTGTTTGGCTGGTACCTTCTAATCACATTATATATTGTTGGCTAATAAGAATACATAACATAGAGGGACTTATTGTTAAACAGTTTTTTGGTACAACAAAAATAGTCATGATACTTAGGACTCTACAACATATGTATCAATCTGACAAACTAAGTTCAATTAGTTTGATTTTATCACACAACTTAAACATATGTGTTATTCATTGTAACAGATGCACATAGAACAACTATTAACTTTAAAGAATGATTGGAGTAACATAACACAAAATAGTTCACTTACTTGCATGAACTCCACTAATTCACCAATTGTTTTAACTTGAACAATGCCCTTAGCTAACTCATCAGAGACAAAAACTTTGCTGAGAGATGGTTTGAGTCAGCCTCTCAGAGAAACTATCCCGAACATAAAGTAATCTGAATTTAACAAAGTGTAAAATATTTAGACTGAAAAAATAAAATTGAGTATTGATAAAGGGAATTTTTTTTATATTAAATTATTTTCTTAACTCGTCACATTGAGAAAAAGTTGGATTAATTTAAAACTTTGATACATTCCAAGTATTGCGCACCGAATATAAATCTGCAAAACAACGTATGTGTAAGATGTAATGAATAACCTCTCACAAAGTAAAGACATGTGAACAATTGTTTTACCTTGAAATTTATGTGCTTCTATAAGCTGCATAATAACAACGATAGGCTGGTTGTTAAAGCTTGTCAGATGAGGCACAATTTGATCAATAATTTTTCCCAGAATGTAGTGGCTCTTCGTCCTACCAAATAGAAATAGAAAGATAATTTTTAGCATATATAATTGCCAAATTCATCCATAATCAGTGAATAAGTATTTATTCTTACTCAACATCTTTAAGTTCGATATTCATAACCTTTCTAGAAATTTCACCTTGTTTGTGCGTTTGGACCTCACTAAAACAGGGAATTTCTCCGATTACATCTAAAGAATTAGAAGATGTTAATTAAATAGCAGAAAATATAATAATTAGAAGTTCACAAACAACAATAACAACAACCCTGTCTGGGAAGGGTAGTGTGTACGCATACCTTACCCCTACCCCGAGGGAGTAGAGAGGTTGTTTCCCAAAGACCCTCGGCTCAAGGAGACGAAAAGAGACAATATCAGTACCACCAATAGAAACCATAGGAAAAATAAAATCATGAAAGTGAGAAAGTAATAATTAGAAGTTTACAATGAACGTTATTTTTACCGAATAATTCAAGCTCGTTCATATCAACCTTATTTATCAATTAATCATATGGTGGCACATCAAAGATATTCATTGGAGAAGTGGATCATTAATATGTGTTCTGAAAAAATGCAGCACTGACTTGCCAATAAAAGCATGTATTCGATCCCCTTATAAAGAAAGCATATTACATACATGCATGTATATAGAAATTAAAAAAATATACGAATAACAGAGCAAAAAAATAAAGATTTTCACATTGAAAAACGGAGAAGCAAACACATGATATATGCTTAGTATATCACTGAGAAACATATTTAAGGATACATATATTTGGTGTACAAATGCTTCAATCAGGTTTTTGCTATTGATTATCCCATGAATATGCATATATGAAAATTTAAAAACGAATTATAAGATAATAATATATTTTTAATACCTTTTCATCTTGTAGAACCAATTCAATCCAGAAAATACCATTGGAATGGTAANAAATGTGCAATTAATGTTTATTTTTAAATAACAATCTAAATCAGATTTCCTTTTTAAATTTAAAGATTAATAAATGTAAGCTTTAAAATCAGTTAACTTTTTAAAATAAAGAAATATTTAATATTTTAAAAATAAAGAAATTTGATTTATTTTTTTAAATAATCTTCTAGCTCCTATTTTCTTTGGATGATTGTCCTAAAGTGCCAAGTGGCCTATTATGATGATGCCACTTGACTTAATGAGGATGCTTCTTCCTCTCTTTTTAATTATAGATAGAATAATAATCTAAATCAATTACTTTTTTAAAGTTAAAGAGTAAACAATGTATGTTAAATCGGTTAAATTTTTAAGATGTATGTTTTAAAATCAGTTAATTTTATTAAAATAAATACATTTGAAATTTTGAATTAAATAAAGCTGTTTAAAATAAAAAATTTGGTCTTCATGGTTCAATGTTAAAGAGTCAATAACATATGTTTTAAAATGTGCAATTAATGTTTAATTTTTAAATAACAATCTAAATCAGATTTCCTTTTTAAATTTAAAGATTAATAAATGTAAGCTTTAAAATCAGTTAACTTTTTAAAATAAAGAAATATTTAATATTTTAAAAATAAAGAAATTTGATTTATTTTTTTAAATAATCTTCTAGCTCCTATTTTCTTTGGAGGATTGTCCTAAAGTGCCAAGTGGCCTATTATGATGATGCCACTTGGCTTGATGAGGATGCTTCTTCCTCTCTTTTTAATTATAGATAGATGGGAAAAGATTAAATTTATCCCTGAATTTTGTGAAATTAGCCAGTTATGTCCTATGTTAAAAGTTTACTTAAAAGTGACATCATTGTTACCAAATGTATCAATATGCCACTCATTTCTAATAGAGCTCTAACTTGCATATATAATTTATTTGTACATATTTAAATTTTCAAGTAACATAAGATACGTGAATAAAGTAAAAATATTTGAATTTTCCCTTGAACTTACAAAATTACTCAATCATGCCCCCTTAATCTTGTTTCTTAATCTTTTATCTAAAAAGGAAACCACTATCACCATTGCCAATGACTATAAAGAGCTTCCATCATCCGGAGCAATGGAAAACTTTTCTATAACCTTTAGGTTGAACAGTACAGGGATCGGAAGAAGGATCTCCACATGGTGTTTATTGATCTGGAGAAAGCATACGATAGGGTTCCTAAGGAGGTCTTATGGAGCTGCTTAGAGGATAAAGGGGTCCCGGTTGACTATATTAGGGTGATTAAAGACATGTATGCTGGAGCTAAGACTCGGGTTAGGACAGTAATAGACGACTCTGAACACTTTCCAGTTATTACGGGGTTGCACCAAGGGTCTGCGCTCAGCCCATTCCTATTTGCCCTGGTGATGGATGCACTGACTCATCATATTCAAGGGGAGGTGCCATGGTGCATGCTATTTGCTGATGACATTATTCTAATTGACGAGACACGAGGCGGCGTCAACGAGAGGCTAGAGATTTGGAGACATGCTCTTGAGTCTAAAGGTTTCAAGTTGAGCAGGACGAAGACGGAATACCTCGAGTGCAAATTTGGAGTTGAGCCGACGGAAGCGGGAGTTGAAGTGAGGCTTGACTCTCAAGTCATTCCCAAGA